TGTTCTAGAACTTCAAAAGCACTTATGCCAATCTCAATATTATCCCTATAGAATACTACGTTAGAGAAACTTAACGGCTAATTTGGTTGAAGAAGGTGAATTTTATCAAGGATGTTTTTAATTAAAAAAGTGATTGAAAAAAATATTATATAAAAAAGTTGTAAAATATCATTGTATAGAAAATTGATGACTTTTGTAATGAAATTTGGTTAAAATTTTATTAGATTATTAATTTTTTATATTTAATAAAAAATTAATATAAAAAATATTTTAAAAATATGTCAAATGAGTCCTACGTTAAAAACATTAAGGGAGAAAAGTCTTTACTTTAAAAAACGTAGGTGGGGAAGATTGGTCATTGAAAATTATATTAAGAAAATAAAGAATTAAAATATAAATTTTATCCTTTATTTATTATAGCATTAAGATGCAAAAATATTAATTTTTTAAAAAAAATTTCCCTTTATAACGAAAACCTTTCCCAAACCAAACACTCAAAGGTTAGTTCTATTCTATAACAATCTCAAACTAACGAAAATTTAATCAAATTGACATTCATTAATTTACAAATTTTAATTTGAAGTCAAAATTAAAAATTCAAATATTTATATAATCAAATAGATATCCTTCTGACGTATAAAAAAAAAAAGAAGAAAAGACAATCTCAAAATCATTGCCTATAAAATGTTCTAAAACTTCAAAAAAACAATTAAACAAAGCAACAGATGACTATAGGGGCAGGGTTTTTTTTTATTATTTTATTTTTTGGCCCTGCAAAACCCTTAGGGGCAGGGTTAGTGTTATGACAATCTCAAAATCATCCTCTATAGAATGTTCTAGAACTTCAAAAAACAATTAAACAAAGCAACAGTTGACTATAGGGGCAGCGGTCTGTTTTAATTTTTGGCCCTGCGAAACCCTTGGGGCAGGGTTATTGCATTACTATATTTCATCCATTTTCTGTCTATGGAAAATTAAAAATGTACGCGGTAAAGTGGGATCCACAGGAATATTTTTCATGTAGTCATCACTCAATGCTCTTCTATATACAGACTTCTTCCTTTCCTGCACTTCTTCAAGAAAATGAGCAGCACTAACAATGGCAGTAGAGCAGTCCGTTGGAATACAGATTCCACCGGACTGATGAAGAAGTCATCACTGCCGTCACAGACAAGGTTCTCAGCCGTGATTCTCTCGTCCAAGACGTTGCCATACTCGGTGACATTTGCAAGTATATATGAGCCCTGGGACTTGCCCGGTAATGGGTCTCTTCACTGCTTTTTAACTTCTGAGTAGTTATAAAACTGCTGATAAATCATATTCTCATCCATGATATATATTGCAGGCACCTTCTCAATTCCATGTCTTACCGTAGAATCCAACACTTTTCGCTAGAAGGAAGTTATGGTGGCGGATTCTATAGCCAAGTATGGCAATTACCGCATTAGGATGTCCTGTGGTCTTTGTGTTTTGGAGGATCTGCCTCCTAATGTTATTTTTGTTCTTGTTGATGATTCTTATGGGGTCTCGGTCTCCTACTAAAAGGGACACTCGTACAGTTGTAACCCGGTTTAGTTAATTTTATTTTATACCTTGTTTTACAACATACTAAAGAGGAAACAAAAAATACCATAAAAAAAAAATTCTCATTCTCACAGGCCACAGCCACAATAAAAATAAAAAAAAAAATCTCCATTTATTTAAGAAATGGTAGCTTAGTTGATAATAAAAAGTTTTCTACTTCTCTTGTTTACTAATGTTTGAATCATTAAAAGAAAAATTAATGCAAAAGTAGTTTTTTACAAATTCTTTAAATTAAAAAAAAAAAAATTAAATCCCCATTCCCTCCCCATCCCCCGCAACCTAGTTAGCATATTAAATAAAGCCCATATGCAACGAGCCAGGCCCAGTGAGACCTTTTCTATTTCTCTTGTTTTAACTAGTTATAAAGGAGAAAGGATTCAAATCTAATCTAAAGGCCGAGAGTGCATTATTTAATGTAATTTGTAATCATTTGACCTAAAAGGTCAGCTGCAAGAATTCCTTTCTATTTTATGAAATGGCACAGTAATAACTTAAATTACAAAAGAGATTCATGTTTTTCTAGTAATATTGAACATTAAAAATGCAATGTCATATTGAAATTAATTAAAATATAATTAATAAAATAGCATAAAAATGAATTTTATTAATAATATTTTGATAATTTTAGAAGTTAAATGGCACAATATAATTTGATAAAAAATTACTAAAAATATAATTCAAATTGAAAAACTCTTTTCTGATTATAAAATTTTTATCAACAAATTGATAACTTGGGCGTGACCAAGCCCATAACATTGGTCTAACTCTAAACTTTAAATATCTAAACATGAGTGTAGTAGTTAAAACACTTTTATTTGATGATCAAACCAAGAACCAACACTTAGGACTAGTAGTTAGATATTTCCACTTATAACAATTTATTACTACTAAGTACTAACTATTGAAATCAGATATTCAAACCACTTTAATTAAAGTTCCCAAACAAAAACATATTATAATGAGAAATATCAAGCATTATTTAAAGCATGTAGGATTGTTATGGAATTATAATCCTGAGTAATTTTTGTAGTTTTATTTATTTATTTGAGCAGTGAAATTTTAGTTGTTGTGGTGGGGAAACCGATCCGAACACTAGCCCTCAAGTTCCCTACGCCGGACAAAATTGAGGCGTATGCCCAAGTGTAGTTTTTGAAATTTTATTTATCAAGACTCTTTTTTTTTTTTTTTTTGAAGATTATTTATCAAGACTCTATGATAAATAAAGAGTGTTATTTAAGAGTCACAATTAGAAAAAAGGATTATATTTTTTAGTTGATTATGAGTGTCACTAGGTGTTTGTTTTAAAGTTTTAGAACTAAATAATTGTTAACTATAATATAATGAATTAAGTATTTTTAATTATAGATAATAATTATTATTAAATCTTGGATATAAACAATCAACTACCAATTGAATTTAAATAGTTAATTCAAATGTCTTTTTAAAAATAACTAACAGAAACCAATGCGCTGTTAGTCAAAGTGAAAAAATTTTGATTTTTCTTAAATAAGGTTTGAGTTCAAATTTTGTGAATGAAAAACAGGTGTTGAGAGAATTTTTTATGAAATCCAACGAGACTCAATTCTGAATTAGTTGAAATCCAATATAATTACCAGATATCGAGAGATTAATATAAAAAAAAAATACTAACAAAAATATCTTAACTAAATCATCACATACTAATTAAAATAATTTAATTTAAGATCAAGACTTAAATCATGAAATGCTACACAAATTTTTTTAAAATTTTCAAGGTGTTCTCTTGAAATTATGTAAAGTAATCTTCATTGTATGATGCAATTACTTTTTTAGAGTAACGCCCAAGTATTTTTCATCTTGAAACTGAATCTCTTTCTTTCTTTCCTCCTTTCTTTCTTTTTTTCCTAGTTTTCCTACCCTTTTCATCATGTGGGGAACATAAAAGAAAAGGCAAGAAGGTGGATGGAAGATACTTGTTAACAATAGAGGACAAGCAGAAGATCATTGCTACAGGGATCCACCAAAACTTCATGACTAAGAAGTCAAAAGTATTTCAATCTCAAAATTATTCCAATAGATTGTTCCAGATCTTCAAACTCTCCATATTATTTATATATATATATACATTGGTCAAGAACTTCAAATTCTCAATATTATCCCTACAGACTATTCTAGAGCTTCAGAAGTTAAATATATAACAATCTCAATGTTATCCACCCATAGAATGTTCTAGAACTTCAAAAGAAACACCATCTATCAATGGTAGTCCAAAGCAACGCTTGACCTCGGACCCAGGGCAACTGACATCACTTACTTCATCCATTTTGTGTGGAAAAAATATACGCGGAACTTGGTGGGGTGGGATCCACAGGATATATTCCACGACTTCCTTAATATGAAGGCACCACTCAGTGCTCTGCTTTACTCTTGTATATAAGCTGCTTCTTCTTGCTCTTAAAATATACGCGGAACTTGGTGGGGTGGGATCTACAGAATATATTCCACGACTTCCTTAATATGAAGGCACCACTCAGTGCTCTGCTTTACTCTTATTTTTAAGCTGCTTCTTCTTGCTCTTCTCCATCCACCCATACAATGTGCAGTACTAATAGCAGCAGCAGCAGCAGTTGGTGCAGCCGGCCGGGATTCGTATTCCAGCCGGACGACGAACAACTCATCAGTTTCTACCTCACAAACAAGGTCCTCGGCCGTGATAACTTTGTCCAAGACATCGCCACGCTCGATGACATTTGCAAGTACGAGCCCGAGGATCTGCCAGGTAACTATTTCAACTAAGTACCAATAAATTTTTTTTTTTTGGGGGTTCACTTTGATTTAATAAAAGGAAATAAGTTAGTGCTTAATTTAATCAACACTTGCTCTTGCTATACATATATGTGTTGTAGATTTTTCAACCTTGGAGTCTGGTGTTCAAGAATATTACTTTTTTTGTCCACCAAAATACAAATCGAAAAACAGCACCCAACTAGACAGAAAGACGAGGGCCGGAAACTGGAAAGTAACTTGCAGGCGTCGTAAGATTAAGTCTAAAAATGGCACCGTAATTGGCGAGAGGACTACTTTAGTTTTCTTTAAAGGATCCATTCCTGATGGAAATAGAACCTCCTGGTTCCTCTACCAGTACAGCCTCATTTCTGATCTTCCTAACCAAGTAAGTTCGTATGCTCACTTCAAGGACTTAAATGAGATTTAATAAAACTTTATAGATGCTTAATTCAGGACAATATATACTAAAAGTTTGTTAGATTCCCTTTTTTTTTTTTTTCTTTAATGTAGAAGAAGCGGGTTTTTCTTTACAAATTGAAGAAAAAAGATAACGGTAAAGCTGAGGCCTCCAGCAATGAAAGTCAGCCAAGTTCTGACTTCCCTTCTATTGCAGAGGAGGATGCTGCAAATGCAATTAGTCTCGATGTAAGTTTCCTTTCAGAAGTTTCATTAAAATGTTACTGATACAGAAATATTGTGTCATGTATCATGTTATCTCTAGTCTGAGAAACATTTTGAACAAAATTAGTTATGGTTGTTTGATAATGAACCAGGATTTGAGAGACTCGGAGATGCCTGAAGCAGAGCAGGGTGCCCTGCCTCAGATGAGTTCAGATGAGAGTCAACCAAGTCATGACTTAACTACTGTTGCAGTGGAGGATGCAAATGCAATAAGTCTAGCAGTGAGTTTTCCTGTAGAAATTTCATAAGACATTACTGATGCATCTAGAGATTTGCATCTATTAAACATGCATGATCCAGAAATGTGTTATGTATTACGCTATCTTTAGTCTGATATAACGAATGGAACACAGGATAAGTTATGGTTGTTTGTCTATGAGGCAGGATTTGGAAGGCTTGATTGAGGTTGAAGATGAGCAAATTGCTCATGAAGTTTCTCAGTTGCAGCCAGAAATGAGTTCAATCTACCAGGAGACGTATGACAACTTGCTCTTTGAATTGCAACCACAGATGCATGTGGAGCAGCAGCAGGCCGCCCCCTCCTCCTCCTGGGGTTTCCCTTTGTCCAATGATTCTAGCGGCGACACGTCTCAGAATCATTGCTACTCCGGAAACATCAGTCTAGACTCTGAATTGCAGCCACAGATGCATTGGGAGCAGCAGGCCTTCTCGTCCTCCTGGAGTTTCCCTTCGTCCGATGGTTCTCAGAATCATTACTACTCCGGTCACATCAACGAAGAGGAGGATGTGTTACAGTATTGGAATTTACCTCAATTCAACGAACCCTTCCTTGAAGAAGGAAGCAATTACCATACCTGATTATTACTTCATCGGCATACTCAAGAACTGGTGAAAAAATTATATTACTAGTTTAATTGTGTCAATTACTTATTAGTACTGTACTACTGTATGAAGGTGTGAATTATGAAGGTGAAAAAAATGTATAAATGGGGTGAGAAAGGTTCGAACTCTAGACCTCAGTATAACTCAACAAGCACTGAGACCTACGCGCTAGCCCTACTATAGCACTATGATTGTCTATGTCTTGTTCTTGTTAAGGTATTGTATGTAAGTGTGTTTTCATGATATCTATTTTAATTTAATGTCCTCAAAATATTTCCTTTTCCTGAGTTTGTTTGTTAAGTAGCATTCGCCTACTCCATCAACAATAGCATTGTTAAATTAAAATTGTAATCACCATTTGTAAAATTTTGGTTTGTTATCAAGGATTCAAATATATGTAATATTCATCCAAAAAAAAAAAAATTTTTTTTTTGTTAAAACTCCATTTTGGTCCCTGAACTATTATACGGACCTCAGATTTGGTCCTTGAACTAAAAAAATTCTTAATTTGATCTCTATTGTTTACCATTTTAACCCTAATTTAGTCCTTCCATTAAAAAACTTGTGATGTGGCCTATTACTTCACGGTTACATGCTGACATGTCAAATAGTAATATATGTGGCAGCCAATATGACAAAAAAAAAATAGTGACATAGAAAAAATAATAATATATAAAAAAAAACTTAATTCTTTCTTCTTCTTCTTCTTCTTTTTTTCTTTTTTCTTCTCTTTCCCTTTCTCTTCCTCTTCTTCGTTCCCTTTGGAACCCAAGCCTTTCTCTTTTCTCTTCTCCTTTCCCCCTGGAACCCAACAGGCATGAGTTCCTTTGAACCTAGTTGCTAGGTTCGTGGAACCCAAGCTTGGGTTTCCTTCGAACCTAGCATGCCTGGGTTTGATGGAACCCACACCCTAGGTTCCAGGGGAAAAAAATAAAACTTGTTTTCTTTTTCTTTTCTTTTTCTTTTCTTTTTTTTTGGGTTTTATTGATTGATGAAGATGAATAATTGATTGATGAAGAAGGTAAGGCAAGAAAGAGGAAGGAGAAAGAAAGGGTGCCTGTTGGGTTTGATTGAACCTAGGTGTTGGGTTCCTTTGAACCTAGCATGCTTGGGTTCAAAAGAATCCAAGGGCAAAAAATTAAAAAAAAATGTTTTTTTTTTTTGTGAGTTTGTTGCTTGATGATGATGATGAAGAACCCAGTGAGGGTAGAAATTGATTGAGATGAATAGATTGGTTGAGATGTTAGAGATTGATTGAGATATTAGAGTTTGCAGAATTTGAAAAGGAAAGACGAAAGAGAAAGGGAGAGATGATTTTTGAGTGGGATGAGTTGGAATGCCATGTCATCAATTTTTATCAACTTGTCAATTTTTGTGTGACACGTAATGCTTGTTCTGTTGTTTTCCATCAATTAACGTGAAAAAATTAACAGAATAACTAAATTGAGGTTAAAATGGTAAACAGTAGGGACCAAATTATAGATTTTTTAGTTCAGAGACCAAATTAAGAGTCTGTACAATAGTTCAAGACCAAAATGGGGTTTTAACCAAAATTTAATATTAAATACAATTACAACTTTCAATATATACATATTAAAAAAACTCATGTCTATTCTAAAATTGATGAGGACAATGGAGAGGATATGAAATCTTCAAAGTTTAGACTAGATCTAATATCTAAGTCTACTCTAGCTAAAGGACAGGCATTTGGCAACATATAAAGAAAATGATAAAAGAAAATGGCAAGAGAGTGAATGGAAAAATACAATTAACAGAACAAAACGTGATCATGGCTTCCAAGCAGAAATTATCCGAGACATGGAGAGCAAGGGTTTAAAATTATGTGAATCTCAATATTATCCCTGTCTGTGAATTGTTCTAGTACTTAAAAAGCATTTATGTCAACCTAAATATTAGCCCTATCGAATGTGTTTAATTAAAGACAAACTTTATTGGTAAACTTTATGGAGTAGCCTGTATGCTGTTTAGCTATTCCATCCTATTCTTTGTTTCTTGGAAGTTAACTATCCTATTCTTTGTTTCTTGGAAGTTAACTA